CAGGGGAATTAGCCAAAGATCACAAAGCAGAATTCTTTCCACATTGCAAGGCAAGTACCTGAGCTGAAGAGAAATTCCGAACTGTCCAGAGAGCAGGATGACAGCATACGTGTGGACATTTCTCCTGCATATGAGATGACCCACTGGATTTCTGGATTCTTAGGAGTTGAGCTCCCAGATGGCCAGAAGAGCCTTTCAACTCAGCATTCCAAATTAGTATTCCCAGAGGACCAGGGCTGACATCCAAGGTAAAATCAATTTGCTATCCCTGGAGAAGAGATTAGATAGTGTCTCTCTCCCTCTTGTATGCATGAATAATTGCCAGACCAGGTATCTCAACACATAGAAGGTTCAGAAAATCTACCACCAGAACCGTCTATACAGAAGACAGACCTTGGCAATTGGAGATCTTTTGGGAGCACTGTAAGGGTCAGGGTTGAAGTGGGGAAGTTGAAAGAGAAGTTTAAGGGCAGAAGAATGAGCAGTAGCTTCACCTTCCCCATGTGCTTTGGATCAGCTCTTATATAGAGAGAAGGAAACATTCCTGTTCTCAGTGCAAAACAAAAATTATAACCTAAAACCAGACCCCATAGTTCAGCTATTTATAACATGAACTCAGGAGCAAAAGTACCAGGTGAGAGGTGTTTATGACAACACTCTCCAGAGACATAAATGGAAATTACTAAAATTATAGGTGGCTTAGCTATTTAGGGGCAATTACCACATTTCTAAATCTGAATGATGCTTGGGCAAGTGGAAGCCTTTCACATTCCAGCACCCTTTCTAAGGCCACATAATATTAAAGATAGTTTGGGGCTCAATAGATAAAGACAGATCATGTGCGGATATTTGTAGCCCTGAGATTCTCCAACATGATCACATTGTGAGTCTTGGCTGTCTGTGAAGTTCAGCATTAGAAGATTTGTCCTCCTGGAGTAGCTACAGTGTTTTAGACTACAAACCAAATGTTTATTTGCAGAATTTAGCCTTGCCCACAATTTACCAAAATAACAAGAAAACTAGACTTTTTCTATGTCTGAACTACATTTTCTTCCCATCATAGTCTTGTAATGCCAGGAATACAGACTCAAGTAAAAAGACTATATAAGCATGTATTCCTCAAAAATAATTTTAAAAGGGCAGTTCATGGAAAAGATTGGAAAGATTTTTCCGAAACCCATAACAAATAAAACACAGAATTCATATTTTTTAAACAACCATAAAATTATGACACCATCATTTGACTACTCTAATTGCTAAATATTTTAGTGGCATTCATGTACCTTTGTTTCAATTAGAAGTAAAGGGAGAGGGCCGGGGAATTAGCTCAGTGGAATAAGTGCTTGCCTGGCAAGCGCAAGGCCCTGAGTTCAATCCCCAGTTTTGAAAAAAAAAAAAAAAAAAAATGTAAAGGGAGAACCACAAAGCCTACAATTTGATTTCTAAAGTGATATACTGAGCCCAAATAACTCCAATTTAAGTTTATTAATGTATATGTCAATCCTTCTGGTGCTTAAAAATGTTTTGTGCTGTTATCCCAGGAAGCCTTAAAACATCTAAGAAGTGTGTGTGTGTGCGCGCGCGCGCGCACGCGCGTGCGCATGCGCGCATGCGTGTGTGAAAGGATGGAGGAGTAGGAAGAGGAAGAGGAAAAAGAAGGTGGTGGAGAAGGAGAAGGAAGACAAGGAAATAGGATTAATGGGCAATAGCTAAAACAGATCAAGAACTCCAGGGTACATACAGAAATGTCAAAAGGAGAGAAAAACAGCAGTAGTGAGAAATATGAGTGAAAACATTTCTTTTCTATAGTTCCATCTTCCCATTTCATAGCTTCTAGA